ATTGCCTGAGTAGGCTGTAAACTCTCACATGGTAGACCACCTACTAATTACATATGTAGAGCCAAATATGATGACCTAGAAAATAAGGAGGCATCCTGTACTTATGATGTTGCAAATAATTGTCAAAACCACTTTAATTTCCCTTTCAAGGTTGTTAAAACTTTGAAAGTTCCTTCTTGCCTGTACTTCATTTCTAGTGTATTAAGGTGATAAATCAAATGCATGTTAACCTGATGTGTTGGCATAATATAGAATATCATCTTAAAAGACATCAGAAAGCTGACTAGTATAGTCAAACAGCAACAATCACAAAGTAAAAGACATGTGTTTAATTAACTGGAGACTGTGAGCCATCGCTTTTTCACTTTGTTCTGTAGGGCAAAAGCCACAAACCATCCGTTGGTGCAGGTTTTCAAAACTGAGAAAATCTATTGTAAACTCTCAGATCTTACAGATAGACTGCGGTGCTATTATGACTTCAAGAAGAGCATTTGGTATTAACCCATGGGTTGCCTGCACTCTTGTGATAAGGTTGATTTTATTTCCAAAATGAATACTATCATTTTGAACTCTAAATGCTCTGGAAATTCCTATATCAAAAGGTATTTTAATAGCCATGCAAAAGAATTTTTTAAGAAAATATTGCTTTCATTATATGTATATATGAGTTTCTCCCTCTTCCTGTAACATTAAAAAAAAATGAAAAAACAAGGAAGAATTCATTTTGGTTCAGGAATTTAGCTACACTTCATCTTTTCCTCTAAGAATAGAAAAGTTGGATTGACATCAAGCCAGTTTATGGTGTTCTAGGACTTCCAAATACTGGTAGAGTCACTGAAATCTGGCAGATGAATATGGCAGCACTTTGCATTGGGCATTTCAGGTCTATCTGAAATGCAGAAGCACAAAGATGTCTTAAATTTATGGCTAATGATAAATTTTGATGTATTGCTTGAAATTAAATTATTGATTTATGGTTTTCAACAATTCTTATAGTTTACTAAAGGCCCGGTACAGGAAATTTGTGCACGGGGTTTGGCGGGGGGAGGTCCCCTCAGCCTGGTCTGCGCCCTCTCACAATCTAGGACCCCTTGGTGAACATCCCTCTTGCAGTCCAGGACCCCTCGCTCCTTACCGCCAGCCTGCTTGCTGCTCCTTAGCACCGAAGCAGAGGCAGGAGAGTCTCCCGCCACAGCTCCTGCGTTGAGCATCTGCCCCCTGGTGGTCAGTGTGCATCATAGCAACTGGTTGTTCTGGTCGTTCCTCCCTAATGATCCGTTAGGCTTTTATTATTTATATAGATAATACTTCACTGGTTATCGTGTGTGAGAGTGTTGGATGAAAAACCAGAAAGGCTATACTGCACACCTATGTGCATTGATACCTCTAGCCATCAGCATAAATTACATAAATTAAGTGAGGTTTTCTAATTACATACAACTTATAAATACAGAAGATTACAGACATATAACTAAATTTCCAAATAGCATTTTTAAAATCTCCCTATTTACATACATTATATATGAAATTAGTATCCTGGATGGAAGCATCTAATTTGTTTCAAATAAAATATTGAAAACTTTTTTTTTAATACAGCAGAGTTTTCATCGGGCTTAGCTTGAGATGTCTGAAAACTAACTTTGCCGCATGCACAGCAATAGTGGACAGCTGCCAGCAAAGGGCTTTATCACGGCATAAATGGCGTTTTAAGTGTTTGTTTCCAGTGCAGGTTCTCGCAGCCCAGGCACTTCCCAGTCTCATTGTTCCTTTGTTCTAGCGGATGTACAAAGGATTGACTGTTTTGTTTTCTGGCTCAGAGAGATTAGATAAAGTCTGCATTTTTGAACTTCGCCCTCTAGGCACGGAACCTTAAAATTCATTTTCTGGAGCTCCTATTTTGCAGATTATATATGTTTAGATTATACTGAACATAACATCATTTTCTTTGGCCTTTATCTGACTCAGTTGTAGACATTCATGACGGTACAGTATTAATCTCATTGGAGCTATCACTGGAAAGCAGCTGTCCCCCTCACCCTTGTCCCTAAAATGCCTCTTCAGCAAAAATGTGTCATCTTGGTTGGCTATGACAAGGCTGTTCATGAGTTTTGTTGGCTATTAGAATCTTATGGTAGTGAAATACCGTCCTTGCCAGATAATAAGAAAACTTTCTGTGAGGGATAATTATGTTCTTTGCTTTTATTATGATGTCCTTAATTATAGACTATTATCTAAGATAGAAATAATATTGCCAGGAATTAAAAAAAACAAAAACTCTTTTTCCCCCAGAGCTTTTAAATGTGAACCACCTTGGGAATTTTTTATTTTATCTTAAGGGTTAGAGAGTTATTTCATGGGAATAAATTGGTAAGATTTTTCTCAAGGTTAGTTTTTATGAAGAGAGCAACTAAAGCTTTTATCACTTTGGTTTAAAAAAATTGTATTCCACTTTGCCTTCATTTTATCAGTTATTCAGAAGAATTTTTTTTAAGAAGTGCTCACATTTATTCTTGTTTATTTACTAGGGGCCCAGTGCACGAATTCGTGCACCTTGAAAGGAACTGTGGGCCGCGAGGCTGCGGTGGGCACAGGGGCAGGTCTCGGCCCATTCTCTGTGCCCCTGCCCAGTCCCTTCTGCCACAGCCCTCAGTCCCCTGTCTACCAGCGGCCCTGCTCCCATGTTATAGTGACCGGTTGTTTGGTTGTTCAGTTGTTCTGCCATTTGGTCTATTTGCATATTAGGGTTTTATAGAGAGATTTTTTGTTAATCCTCACCTGAGGATAGTTTTCCATTGATTTTTAGAGTCAGTGGGAGGGAGAGAGAGAGAGAGAGACAGAAACATTGATTCTGTCATGAGAGAAACACATTAATTGGTTGCCTTTGCACATGCTCCAACCA